AATACGCGGATTCTTATTCTAAACTACACGCATTCACATCATAGCTGGGCCATAACCTGCTGGTGACCACCTGCATCATCCCATGAGGGCGGAATCCCGAGCACAGCCATGACCCTCGCAGTATTGCAGAATGACTTCTGCGCACTCTCCTCACATCTCTGCTTGTAATCCTCAGCGAGCGCACTGAGGCTCGTATCCTGGAGTCTCTCAATCCGTTCAGCGGTAGTGCGGAACGGTTGAGGCAGTGGAGGGAATGAAGCGGCAACGAGAGGCTGGCTGTACTCGACACCAAGCGAGTCCAGAACAAGAGGCGTGATGTGAGCAGCTGAACCTAACACACGAGGCATACCGTGTCCCGCGAATCCGGCCGCAATGAAATGGCCCGGCCGCTGTGGCACCGTACCAACAAACGGAAACGCGTCTGCAGATTCGGTTTGCACTATTTAGTCAGCCGAATGTACTTCAAGTTCACTGGTATGACATATCTTACTTCCAGTCCAGCAGCCGCCTTCGTTGACTTCCTTGCTGAGCCCCGCGGGGACTTCATCCGGCGAGCCTGCGACGTCTGAGGCACCCCAAGATTCGTAGAATGCAGCTGCTCCGGCAATCTGCTGATCCTCTTTATCGTTGGGAAAGCAATCTCCTGGCTTGTGGACAAGAAGTTGCCTTGCTCCTCCAATGATGATAGTGTTGTAGGGTGGAGGGAGCTGGAGATGATAGTTCTGTCGTCGTTAGCGGGTCGTCGATTGTGAAGAGAGCATCTGTAAGCCTTACGTTGACCATTGAGTCCCAATGCTGGGCACCGGTATGCTTTATAAATCCCGGGGGCGCTTTAATCGCGGCAATAGCCCCTCTGTCGGGCAGTATAAGGTTACTGAACTCGGGAAGAAGATGAGAAGCCCATCTGTTTGTAGTGTGGACAACTGTTTTGGCACGAATGCTTCCGCGCTCAGTCGTGACTGTGATCCAGCCCTCGGCGTCTCGCGCTGAGACGTCCGTGACTGGAGTATGAGCTTGCAGATTGAGATTGCCTTTCTGTAGAACGATGCGCAAAAGCGCGTGCACCAATTTGTAAGGCCATCTGAGACGATGTTAGTAGGTTTGCGTGGGAGGAGTACAATCGAGGAGAACCGACATTTGCCCTGCAGGATGCACCACTGCAGCCAGAGCACCCTTCATCTGCGTAAACTCCTCTGCGGCGTGTGCGTCCTCGATCACTCTGCATACTTTGACGATCTCATGATCGTCGCCATGATCCCTCCGCATGGCGTCAAGTGCGCCCTTGAGCCTCGTCCAGGCTTCATCGGTCATGGCAGCATCGAACGTTTCTCCGAACTTGAGACAGACCTCTTCCGCGATGTCTTCTTCCTCGGTCAGATTCTTAAATGCCGGCAAATGAGCCATCTCATGTTCGATAAGCTCCATGGCACCCTGGGAGCCAAACCGTTTCGACCATTTCGCGTAGCGGGAATAGGCATGCGGCCTCAATTGTCCTCCTGTTCGCTGTTAGGTGTTTCTCCAAGGAGCAAGATGCAAGTGCCATCACCATTGCGTCCGGTGGCACCTCCGCAAATGTCACGAGCTTCTAGGAGAGTCACATGAGGCTGCCTGGAAGCATTGTCTGTGTACTGATTACTCGTCAGACTTAGTGAGCGGACAACTCATTGTGGTGCGGTCACGAACTTTGTTGATCCAGTACGCGGTCGACGCGCCGGCATAACCACCGCCGATTATTGCCACATCGGTCTCCTCTGGCAACGCCTCGCTGGAGCGGAAGTTGCGCAACGGCGACTTCGCAGCCTCGATCCAATAGGATTTGGTGGGGTTGGCAGTTGGTAAAACCATGTTGAGGAATTGAGAATGACAGACTACTTTCTACAGCCGGGCAGAGAGCATGTTTCGCAAGGCAAGCCACATAGTACACGCTTTCATACCTGTGCTCCATCACCGCTATTTCGCAAATCGACCGGGTACCGTAATTAGCCCGGCCATCGAGCTTACAACTTCGATCTAGAAAGTTCGAACTCGAGAAACAATGGCACCGGTCCGGAATCTGCTGAAACTGTTGCTCATCGTTATCGTACCTAGGTACCTGTGTGTCAGTGGCAGAACCGGGTAAGCCAACCGGTCGCGATCCGGTCGCGATCGATAACCACCTGGTCCGAGCGCTGCGGCAGTCACCTCGACCGGGCCGGCCTTCTATCATCCACTGGCACGTTACCTAGGTACTCACGATCGCAAAACATGAGAGTACTGGGCGCAGGGGCCTGTTCTCCATAGATCTTTTAATCATTGTGCCAAGTCGAGATATCTTGCATCAACCGCTGTCGACCTCGGGAGCTCCTTGACTTTGATCATCACACACCACACCGACAGTCAAAATGACACAGCCGCTCAAGCATGTCGTGTTCGACGTCGTCGGCACCTGCGTATCGTTCGACGCCTACTACGAACGCATAGACTCAGTCTTGGGTGCAAAACTTCGCCCTCACCACATCACCGCGCAACACTTCGGGTACACCTGGCAGACAGCTGCTGAGCTGGAATTCACGTTCTTGTCCATCTCCGAAAGCTACAAGCCTTATAAGGACGTTCTCCGAGGACTATTCTACCGTACCCTTAGTCTTTGTGGCATCGCCGATCCTCGGGCCATAGCCACCGAAGAGGAGCGGGAACAGTGCATCGAAGGCTATTCCGCTTTACAGCTGCGACCTGGCTGTCAGGAGACGTTCCAGTTGCTGCGCGACAACGGCTTCACCGTCTGGTGTTTTACCACCGGGGATGTGCAACGAGTTAGAGGCTATTTCGAGCGCGCCGGTGTAGACATGCCGCTGGAAAATTTCGTCAGTTGCGACAACTTAGGTGTGGCTAAGCCCGCTCTCCGCGCCTATGAGTCTGTATGGAATCGATTTGGAGGAAACGATGTGAAATGGTTCGCCGCCGCGCACATGTGGGATGTCGCAGCGGCCACAAAAGTCGGTTTTCGTGGAGCATGGAGCTCGGTGTACGAGAAGGAAGCTTGTCTCGACGTGTTTAGTGATGTGAAATTAGAGGTGGTGGCTGGAAGTCTCATGGAGATGGCGCAGCAGATTGTAGACAAGTCTCAATGACATTAGTACTACTACTGCGTTTATTCCAGCCCGTAATGACATTAGTAAAGAATGTTCTTTTCCACATGCTCTTTCCCCGCTCCCAGCATTTTGCCCGAGGTTCGCCATTATCTTTTGTGAGGATGCGGGTATCGCCGTCTGTGATAAGCCGGGCTTACTACTAACCGATAACGGACAAGCTTTGTGCGGAGCGTTCCTGCAGGAGGCTGGACGGCTTCAACGTCGCTGCATTGCGCGTCATTCAGCTGTCTTATCGCTCGCGCTTCGGTAGGTGGGCGTCGTTGACAGCTGTGAACTCACGACGTATGCTCAAAACCTTCCGCCAACTCAGTCCCTTCAGCTCATACCTAGTCTTGTTTGTTCACTTCGAGCTATGGACGTCGAGCCTCCAAGACCCACCAAGAAGCGTCATCTAGCGGCAGAAGAGCGACAACGAGCAGTTCGCGCGTAAGACCCACCACTGTCTCGCCGAAGACTGCGAGGTAGAGTCTTGGCTGACAAGCATCGCATAGGTGTGATGAGTGTCGCCGTCTCAAAGAGAAATGTGAGGATGGCACACCATGTAGACGCTGTCGACATCTGCGCCGACCGTGTAGATACAATGTTGCACCTGCTGCAGTGGACAAGCGAGGACCGGGCCTTTCCGCCTCGCCCAATGAGCTGATGGACCGCATGCGATGCATGGAATTCATAATCAAACACCATTTCCCCAATCTCGCCCTGGATATCGTGTCTCTACAACGCACGTGCGATTCTCTGTCTTCGCCCACTCCACCACGCGACCAGAACGCGATCGTACCCGAGTCTATCGAGCTGTCGGCGAATACCCAAGTGTCTGACAGCCCTGATATTGGAGACGAGGATTGTACCATTGACCGCGTAGATGGCACGACAGTCCGTATGTGCTTCGTAAACCCCCTCGTGATTGCTCAGGCACACTGACGAGAGCTTTTGTCGCTGTGCAGATTATTCAGGCGAGTTCTCTCATTGGAACTTTTCCATGCACATCAAACGCAATATAGACGATCTTATGGCCAAAGCCAATGTGCAGGTACGTACGGCTAGCCTAGTCTGTTCCCGTTTGCTCACCATCTCTGTCAGAATCCAGAAAACGTAACGCGGGTACCAGATTTCATTCGCGTCGGCGAGGCAGATCCAGCCTCGACTTCCATCTCGGACGTCCTTGCTGTTGTGCCACCCCGTCCGGTTGCTACATTCTTGACCAATGTCTTCTTCAATCATGCCACCAGCGTCTACTACTATGTAGACCGACGCTGGTTCAACGGCATTCTAGACAACATATATACCAACCCCGTCTCACTACGCTCCAAAGATGTTACTGCAATATGTGTAGTACTGATGGTACTGGCAGTCGGAACCCAATACGTCCATTTAGAATCGCCCAATCGCCACAATACTCACAGCACGGGTGTTGCAACGGACTCCGAAGTTCAGAGTAGCTGGGAGCTCGAGATTGGATCCGGCTTTTACCGTCAAGTAGCAAAGCTGCTTTCGGAAGTCATTCACGCTGGCTCGCTGCTTAGTGTCCAGGCACTTCTGCTTCTCGGCCTATATTCCTTACCCATCGATGCATCTGGGCTGAGTTACATCTATCTAAACTTGGCTATCAAGGTAGCCATACAAAACGGAATGCACCGAAAGGTCTCGCGCAACGTCCTCGATGCGAGAACCAAAGAAATCAGGCGTCGCATTTGGTGGACAGTGTACTGCATGGAAAGGTTTGTTGGTTCTTGACTCTCCGATGCCACCTCGTCCTCCTGCTCACAGGTCTGACCTACTAGAAAAATTGGTATATACCACGGCCGCCCAATATCCATAGTGCGATCCGATATCGATGCAGATCTGCCTCAGAGATCTGAAGCACACCTCATGGATGATGACCGTTTCGATCCTCAAGGTCTCCTGGAATCAATCGAGCTCACCAGGCAGGCTGAAGCATTCCACCACGAAATGTAAGACTAGACCAAGACTTTGTTAATACACAGAAATAGAACCCAGTTAACTAACTATGTATTGCTAGATCGTGTCTCCGCACATGTGCGAACGCTGAAGTCGGGGTGATTTTGGACCGTATCAAGCGCATGAAGGCGGATCTGCGAGGGCCCTGGTCGCCTCCTCGCGGGGGTGTATTATCGCCACCCGCGAACCACGAAGCAGAACTACCAAAAGCTCGCGCATTGATCCATTCTCGACTGGAGTGCTGCCTCTTGCACATGTTTATCGGACGACCCTTTATCCTCGCGCACCGTCACGCGCGGACCAATGCACATTCCAAGGACGCCAATGCCGCATCCCCAGAAGTACGCCAGAGGAAAGCATCCGAGTCCCACTCACAGTGGGACTTCTTGGTCCAGGACTGCGTTGCGGCCGCGAAGGAAGTTATCAGCACATGTCAAATCATGCAGACGGGCGACATGGGCCTTGCAAAGTCGTCATATGCCGAATACAGTTCCTGCCGCGCGTCCCTGCTGGTCTTGATCGCCTATAGCATATGTTACCGGACGAACGAGTTCGCAAACACCCTACAAGTAGGTCTTCAGGCGATCAGAGAGATGGCTTCGGCGGGCGATTCCGCGCGTTCAGAAGTGTCGCTCCTAGAGACACTGGAAGCGGCGCTGCATCGACTTCACGTTTTCAATCCATTACCCAGTCAACCTGCGGTCACGGAAGCAAATGATGCAGCTGAAGAGGGCTACAACGGTCTTCTTAACTGGTATAAGAAAGCAGAAAAGTCCACAGTCCCTCGTTTTGGGCCTCCAGCATCCGGACATGCAAATGTACAGGCAGCAACGGCGCAGGGCCCAAGGATAACACCTAACAGAACCGATGCAACAGTGGATACCATGCCAAGCTATGTACCCCTTGATGGCTATCCGTTCGATTTCGATCTACTTAACTCGGATGGAAGCGAGGCGTTCTTCACCTCAGACTTTGGTGACCATGGTAACGCAGAGAGGGAGTTCTTTGAGAGCCTTTCATGGTTACCGAAGTGACGTTCTGCACAGGCTAGAATCGCCAATGTATGAGCGATGAAGCGCATCAATTCAACTCTTTTCGCCAACAGAGTGCGCGTAAAAGTCAGTGGATGATTCATCGCATTGCAAGAGTGGACAATTCAGGTCCCAACTCGTCTTATCTCATGGTCACAACCGTGCTTGAGCAGGCTGGCTTTCCGCTATCTGTTGCCACATCTTGAGAGACACATGTTCTTTCTGCTGGTACCACCTACTCCTGGTGATGCGGTACGGCACAGGGAGATCCACATTCTCTGCGTCACCCGTGATGACCATGGAAGCGATGGCTTTTGCACAGAAAAATATCTGCGGCATACCGTGCCCGCTGAATCCTGCGCACATATACTGGCCGGGTTTCCCGCAAACAGGCCCAACATAAGGGAACCCGTCGTTGGAATAGCCCATAACTAATATGGAAGAAGATGAGTCAGTTCCGAAACATTCAATCGTGGGCGCTGGTGCAGACATGACACTTACTACCGGTCCAAAGCTCTTCTGTGTGTGCACCGCTGTTCTCCCACCCGCGGAAATGCCGTTGCATGTAACCGTCAAAGTAATGCCGCGCGCCATTCATCAGTCTGCTGTCGTCGGATACATCGAACCATTCGTCCAAGTCTTTGTAATAGTCGCGTCTTCCGCCCCCGACAATGATACTACCGTCCGGTCGAGGAATCATGTAGTCGTACTCGTAGTCGGAAAACCGCATCATATAGCTATCAGTCATTCTTGGTGCATTCTCGCCCGCCAAGCGCGCTACTATGCCTCTCACTGGGACGACTTTGTCCTTCATCTCCGGTACGAGAGCAGACGTGTATCCGTTCGTAGCATAAACGACAGTGCTGGTCTTGACGGAGCCGCGCGGTGTATTCACGACCCAATCATAATCTTTTGTGCCTCCATCGGCTGCCGAGACAGATGTTACTGAGGTATGTGTCTGCAAGTTGACACCCATAGATACCGCTTTCTCTAGCAAGTGCGCCACAAGTCGGTAGGGCCACAGACGAGCGGCGCTATATGTATGACAAGACTTTGCACCCCATACGCCGGAAACCTATGGGCTTGGTCAGATCTCTCCAAAGAAACATTTCAACGAATCAGATCAGATGTTTATCTCCAAACGCTACATACCTCTTCTGCTTCGCTGCCTGAAGTAAAATCTATCCCTTTCGCAGTGGAGATACCCGCTTTAGTGATTTTCGCAATGTCAGCTTGGATTTTATCGCGACCGGCTTCATAAAAGCAGACATCGGTGACCCTTGTCTCTTCGAAGTCGCAGTCACAATTTTCACGCTGAACAAGTTCTTTGATTGCATCGATCTGGCGGGCCTCGAATGTAGCCACGTGCTCGGCGACCGCTTTCCCATGCGTCTCCAGTACACTGGCCGCTCTTGACAAAGGGTCTGGTTTTAAATGACCGCCTAGATTTTCAGATTTAGTACGTGCGACATTGAAATGGAATATCAAGGGCATATGGTATGTACCGTTACGTCCGGTAGCGCCAGAGCAGGCCTCACGTGCCTCAAGGATAAGTATTGATGGTATTGGGCGGTCGCGACGCACACACTCTTCGACTATGTGATGCACGATTGATGCTCCAGCATACCCCGCGCCAACGATGACAACATCAACCTGCGTAGGAAGCTGTTCAGTGCTGCGATGGTTGTCGATGGGCCCAACTTGTTTTCTCCAATAGGAGGGGACAGCATCCGCCACCGGGAAAGGTTTGACGCTGGGGCCAGGAAAAGACATATTGGAAATGTAGTGTGTGAATCGTATGCATGTATTGGTGGTAGTTCTACGGAATTATCCTAACCGCAAGATGGGCTATGTAGGTACTCACGCTTAGTCATTCACAGGGCAGCTCTGCTTCTACTGTACCAACCCGGGAACTTGCGTAAGTTAGTCAGATAGATAGAATGCGTAAGCCCAGAACGTTGGTCCTTGGCTTCAAGTGGCTGCGCAAGGCGGTGATCATCAGGCAATTGCGACCGGGCCGGTCACCGGTCCGGTCACCGATAAGGACCTAGTTGACCTTGCCGCCCAGCAAGCACACACCTGTCCAGAGCAGCACAAGCCGATTAAGAAGCTTTCTTTTCGTGTAGTAGCATTGGCAGTGTTGAAAGCCCTCCGGTCTTATCTTTCGCCAACAACGCTAAGTCAGATGCGAGGTGATCGAGCAATTCTACTGGACAATATTCATCAGCAATGGCTGCTCGCGTGCTAGAGAAGGAGCGATGTGAACAGGTATAAAAAAACAGTTCATTAGCAGAATACAACTTTGCAGTAGGGGCACAGCCTGCATCATGATAGATATTTTGAACGATCTGATAATTGCTATCTACGGCGATGCCCTGACCACGCTTTCCAAACCCCTAGCGCGTGTCACACGCGTCTGCAATCCTTCTGGTGAGAGCCATCACGCACGACACTTCATTCAGTGATGACGTTATTCAACGGTCTCCTGGGCATCCTAGTGATCAACATGACCATACTAGGCACAGTGAGAACCAGCAAACCACAGTTCACATAGATCGGGACCACAGGAGCGATGCCACTCGCAGAGCTCAGACCATAGGAAACTGCCTGGCCCGCCGTCTCAAACGCTCGAAACAAGCCTGCCACCCGTGACGAATCACCCATGTCGTTGGAGAATGTGCCGAGAATCCAGTATAGTGTCAATTGCGTCCAGTAGCCGCTCACGAAAATGATAAGGTATGGCACGTATGCCCTTGCCCATCTGCCAGTTTCTCTGTCGTTGAAGTCAGTCTCAGTCGCACTGGGGCCTGCCTCGGTAGGATAACTCACGATCCGTAATCCAGCGCCGTTTTATTGCCGAGGTAGTGGTACTCGAAAGCGACCCAGATGAAACAACCGGTTTGTGGCAGGATCCACAGCGAGAATGCAACCCATGCCTTGGGCCGCTGGGGCCACCGCTGGCTGTCTAGAAGTTTGCCGAATATGACGACCGACGGAATAGTAATGGCGGCTGTACTAGTCAGCATGTAGTCAGCGGTCCCAAGATCCATACTTACGGAGAAGAAAAGATGAAAGAGCGCGAGCGCGGACCGAGAAGTGTAGCGAGAGATAGGTACCCATCGTCCCTCCGTAAAAGAAAGAATAGAACGCGGGCAGGAAGATCAACCAGACCTTGTTGCTTTGTAGAGTACTCCACAGAGCAACAAATTCTTGCGTCCAAGTAACCCTCCCCGACATGGGAACCTTGCTGCCATCGCGACGACGCACTCGGGGTGTGGGGGACAGTGACAGCGCCCAAAGAACTCCAGTGCATTCTGCTATTGGTTAGTAACTGTGCATTCAGAGCAGATGCCTAGTATCCGTCACGTACCGAATCCAACAAAGACCAGATATGTCGCCCATGCAATGCCTCCAGCAGAGGCTCTGTCTGAGTTCGTGGAAAAGTTTATCGCACCACCGATCAAGCTTCCGGAGCTTCGCATAGCCGACCAGATGCCTGTCAGAGATTAGTGGAATGATCATACTCCACGTCGCACACACGTGCTTACCAAGGTATAACCCCCTCTCTTCTAGCCTTGGGTAGCATAGCATGGCTGTCGTTTCGCCGACGTAAAGAAGCCCACCCGCTAGACCGTTGATAACCTGGCCCCATCAGTATGTTTCCCTTGTATGATGAGTGTAGATCGTACATTGGCGGCTATGAGGTACCAGTCGACGCCGAATCTAGCATTTACATAGTACGCAGATCCTTGGAGGGGCATCGTGAGAGCCGCAATGAAGCACGCCCATTTGATCCCGATCCTATTGATGATGGGGCCTCCGAGGATAGTACTGATGAAGCTCATGGCGTAACTCAACGAGGTTGCAAGATTCGCTAGCCATGGCGTTGACAAACCGCCTCCTCCTAGATTGGATATAGCATCACCCATGGCTGGGCCGACCAAGGAGAGCCTTAATCATGTTCAGCATCCGGATGGTAGTCTCTGGGAGGATTACTCACGCTCCGAACATCACCATCTGGAATAGCACGCTCCGGTAGAAAGTCGACCATTTCCAAGATCGCAGAAAGTCGTAATCGGTAACTTCTTCCTGCGATCCGATCGCGATGTCCTCACCACCGTCATGCTCCGTGTCCTTCACTTTGGCGTCTTTGGTGTCTTTAGTCTGCGAGTAATCCATCACAAAACCTTTACTGAATCCCGTTCATGATACGCTTCTATTTTATGTAGAACTCTTGCATGCTAGAGACTATCGGCCGGCAAGCTGATTAGGAAACGGTGCCCCTTGTTTGCTCCAGATAAGCATTGCACCGGCCCGGTCTGTAGCGCGACTGATTAGACATGGTGTTGTACGGGCGACAGAGTACGTGCTTATCAAACATGGATGAGCATGGGGTAGTAGCCGTGCCCGGCCATCGCGCTCTTCTCAAGTTGCTCCGGGCCTTTGCATCCCAATCGCCATTAGCACATGGATGCTAGACACGAGACCGAACGTTACAACGATGCTTGTGAGCTCTAAGAATGCTAGCCAATGTCTTCAGGAACATAGTTGGAAGGCAGCTGCGCGCAATAGAAAGCGTTGCTGGGAGTGACGAGAAGCGCCGGTCTTGGAGTTGCGGGGTGTGGGGCTACCTCCACTCTTCTAAACGCGTGCACCAATCAAGCCACGAGTATTACTGTACAACCCTTTCTTCCGATGGGCGGGAAGGGGAGGCATACAAGTTCCTAGCCGACTACCGCGAACATGCGCATATCTGGGCGACATGTCTCAGGAGTACAAACGGCCGTTGACAGTCAATTGCGGTTGTAGTGGTGGGGTGCCAAAGTGACAAAGTTGCGTTTCTAGAAAAAGTAGATCAACCTTAGCACGCTAACCTAAGAAAAAAGTGAACAGCCTAGAGCCTACGTTAACGTTAGGTTACCTACTTTGCAAGGTTTCGGCTTAATGTAGCCTATAGACCTGTTTAGTTTTTTTCTTGTATAAGGTGTTAGAACGGACGCATACTGTGGGTCGTAAAATGCGCGGATGTGGCGTACTCCTTTCAGGATGTGGGTTGCTTGTAGGCTCGTTGCTTGAGTGATATTGCGCTCATCGTGGTCGTTGGCATGGGGTCGAACATGACGATGCAGGATGTCCTTGCATCTACCAGGCTTGCAGGTATCTAGGCCTCATTTGCTCCCAAGGGTTGCTGTTCAGATGCATGCGGTGGTCAGTCGGAGTCAAGTCTGCGTAGTGTCATCATTGGTGGCGAGCTCTAACTATGCCGACATTGATTGAGACCGAGTCTATTCTATACAGATGTAACTGAAGAAGTCAGGCTTCTGACGCTGATCGGGCCACAATCGGTATCGATTGTGGTCGTCTGCAAACTGACGCTAATCTTGAATGCATGCTTGGGTTTGACATAAACATGCCCGCTGTTCAGATACGGGAGCTTGGGTAAAAGTTTCACCAAGTCTTCCCAGAAAATACCCTCCTTGCCAGCTTTGTCTGTGAATAAGAATCTCGTCTCGCGAAGATAATCTTTCGCGAGGAATACTATCGGAGCTTTATCTTTATGAGCTGGACAGATAACCACTATTTCAGCCGTATACCCCGCTATCGTGACGCTGAACTGAGCAGCAAGTACCAATTGGCTTACATTCTGGTCCCAGGCTTTCGGAACCAGGAACGTCCTGTCTAAATGATCCCAAGCGTGCAATGGAGCCACCGACCGCATTCGGAGATGTTCTTGGACGGGAATATGCAGGCCATCGTGGCGGAAGGACACCAAGCGGGTAATTGAGTGTTTGAGGAAGGCATCCGTTGAGAGGTAGACTGACTGCATCAGCTCCTGCGCGGAGTATGTGATGATTTTATTCGGCAGCCTGGCCAAAGGCAACCCGCCAATGCGGCAAAACAGCCCAGGACCGCATTTCCGGAGGAAGATACCTATACTGCTGTCGTCTTTTTTCGACTCCCCGACCAAGAGGACGTAGTGTTTCGGGATTCCGGTATAACCGCGCTCACCGTACCAGCCGTATATCTCGAAATCGCCGCCAAGCAGGAGACCGCGGTTGGTGACAGAGAACTCGGCTAGTTGGTGTTTGTGGACGCTCGCGGCGAATACATCCTCAAATGCAGCCGGTGAGCTTGCAAAGATCTCAACGAGGTCGTTGTTGTGATACTCCGACATGCTGTTCCAGGCGAAGATGCTGAGGTCGTTGTCGCGCTTGATGATCTCTTCTTGCAGACGTCGGAACGCCTTTGTACCCTCGCCGTAGATCAACGGCATGTTAACGTCGAATATACCAAGAAGGCAGTACGCCATATCCTCTTTCCGTTTCGTCCGCCTTTGTGAAGCCCATGACATGCGAGCAGACACGGATTGCTCGGCTATGATGTCTCTCCGCGCGTGCGTCAACACCGACTCGGGTATGTTGGTGAAACGAGATATGGCGGCCGCTTGCTCGTGTTTGGTTCCAACGAACTTCCATCCTTGGGCGTAGAACTCGACAATGCCTGGGGCAAGCAGTTCTTGTAGCGTCCAGCCTCTGGTGAACCATCGGCATTGGGACAGTCCTCCTTTGAGTACTGCGCCTTCGGGGAAGTCTTCGAGATACGCGTAGCAGACGATGGCTTGTCTGTAGTATTGAAACATGGAATTGATTGACTCTGTTAACTCGGCGCTGCTGGATTTGTCGACTGCAAGTAATGATGTTGATGTTAGCGAATGCGCAAGGCCAATGTTTGCGGCAAGCTACTTTGTAGCAATAGTAACAAAACACTCACTATCAACGATCCTGTTAGTTCAGATCTTACCAAAGGTAGGAAAAACTAACCTGCAGCATGTATCGACCCAAAAGTATCTTAGATTGTTTTTCAAGGCCTGGTCCGCACAGTAACGAATCTTACGATGTCCTTCTTTCTTTTCTCCTGTCCCATCTATCATGTCACGATAGCTAACTTCCTCGCTATCTGGGCCCCAGGTATGTGAAAGGATGGCGTACGGTGGAATGTCATCTTCGATGAATTCCACGAGGCTGAGGGTTTCATCGTCGGCAATGTGGAGGAGGCGCATTGTATGTTGAGGTACGCGTTACAATTGTGAAAGCGACACATACATGTGTGTAAAGTATGAAATTGATTGAAGATCATAGCGCGCGTACCTAGGAGACGGGATAGACGGAGGACTAGCGCTCATGAAAGAGGTTACGGCTGGGACGCCTAAGGCTGAATCCACAATCCTGTGGCGGTGCATGCTTGGCAGACAACCGTGCCTCGGAAGGTTATGAAATATGGAGACATGAACTGAGGAAAGATCTGTATCCCATTCTCCAGTACTGGAAAATTTGAGTCTATGGAATACCGCTTTGAGCTTTTGCGATGCGATGACAAGCCCAAATGCACTCAAAGCTCGCTCTTCCACGAATGATCCTCCGGTAAGCCCAATTGCCTTCGTTGCGCATTCAGTATGTGTTGCAAGAATATCGGCTTGATGCTGAGTACGCCAACAAGACTCAATAGCAGCATCAGTATAACGCCCAAGCCCACACCCAGAGCTACAGCGTCCTGCTGCCTGCTCACCTTCCTGAACCACGCCTTCGTATCCTCCACAGCGATGTTCTCGTCATGCGATCGTCGCGCGCTCATCATACCCGGTAGACCATCAAGCGACCGGTGGTTGAACTGCTTTTGGTAGTCGGCGAGCTCTTGCTTCTCAAGCTGCTTTCGCGCCCAGTTGTCCATGGTATCCCGCTGCTTGAAGCCGTTCTCTTCGCCGTCTTCATGATCGTGGTCCACATAGGCAATTGCGTCACCCGCTGCTTCCTCTGTGCTTGCAGTCTTTCCGCCATCGATCTGAGGCACTCCAAATCCGCAGCTGGTCTGGACTTTCTGGATCTTCAGCACAATGATAGCTCTTGCGCCCGTGACATCAACCTCATCACCGTTCTCTGACGCCATCTTAGCGCGCAATTGCCCGTAGTACGGGTCCCACTTTTCGACTACCCTTCCTTTGCAGAACAGTCGCATGATCTGTGGCGAGGGTCCGAAGGAAGAGAACATCACGGTAACGCGGCCATTCTCGTAGACGTGAGAGATGGTCTCACAACCGCTGCCGGTTGCGTCCAGATAGGCGACGGTGTTCGGGCCGAGAACAGAAAAGGTTCTTGACGGATGGCCTTTTGGCGAGATGTTGACGTGATCTCCAGCCCAAGGAGCGCTGGCCACGAAGAAGAGCGGTTGACTGGAGATGAAGTCGATGTGGTTCTCGTTGAGAGACGGGTAGAATTTGACCATGTTGAAGAGACGGACTTTAGAAGCAAGTAGCGGTCAGGATTGAAGGTGGTGGCCTGGTATGGGACGGTGTTGAAGAATGTAGCCGGCAAGGATGTCGTCCGGGAGTCTGACAATTTGCGGGAAGGGTCGAAGCGAGTAAAGCAGATGTTGCCTGAACTGTGTTCAATGGTCGTCTCAAAGTGGAAAGGGGAGATCCAGGCTGGGAAGTCACGATCTGCCGACTCGTCTACTTGGACCGTAGAGTGAGAGTAATTATGCGGTTATGCCCTATCAGACGAAAGAAATGGAATTCTGAGAATGTACACGTTCTTGTATGTTTGCAGCGCAATGCGTGATTAAGATTTGGAGCGCAAGAAAGCTGCGATGCACGGTAACACGGCCTTACCCTTTGCGTGCTAGCTCGAAAGCAGCTCGCGTGTCAGTGGGGGCGGGGCGCATCGCCAGAGGCGCAACGAGATGCGACGGAAATCTATCAAACGCTTACATCAACACTGTCAACATGGTGCTCGCACTAGCATTGAAAGCAGAGCTGAACGGGTAGGTACATCTCTCTAACTACACGTGTCTACCCTACTAACACACCTTCAGCGTCACCGACCTCCGCCCCAACGACACGGAAGACGCGCCCTTTTTCTACACATTCAAGGTCCAATGCACGTCATGTCGCGAAGTGCACCCCAACCCTGTCTCGGTCAATCGCTTCGAGATGAACGAGCAGAGCGGCAGCAAGGGTGAAGCCAACTTTGTCTGGAGGTGTAAGAACTGTAAGGTCTTTCTGCCCTGCGCCCTTCTCTTTACTTCAGCCACTGACATGACCTGTAGAGAGAACACTCAGCAAACATCACAGCCGCGCCTACCTCCTACGAACAAAGCGACCCACCCAAGAAGACCAACATCCTCATGTTCGACTGCAGAGGCCTAGAGTTCGTCGAATTCATCGCCGAGGGAGAGTTCCTCGCGACAGGCACGGAATCAGGCACCAAGTTCTCTGGTATTGAGCTACCTGACGGCGAATGGTACGACTACGACGAGAAGGCTGGCGAGGAAGTTAGCATCACGAACGTCGAGTGGGAAATACGTCGCGCGTAGAATGCACGGGAAAGAGGGAGATTCATACGGCAGGTTGTACAGATTGGAACAATGTACACCAGACGTGGTATAGTCGAGCTGATAGGACAAGACGAATGTGAAGAGGTGGCTATAGTACATAATGACGACAGCAATGCTCAACAAAGACTGCAAAAGGAGAAGGAACAAGTTGCGCACGTTCGAATTGCACATCAAATCTCGTGAACAGCAAAGCTATCCAACATAAGTATATTGAAACTACTAAACAGGCACACAGCACTACGGATATCAGTTTTACACCTCAGCTACCAGCCACGATGAAGTAGCGACGGTGGAATCTACCTCCAAACTCTACCTACAAAAACAGCAACAAAACCCTACGTAGGAGCTACGAAATCGTCAGCGCACAAGGTCAACAAGGATAGCTGAAGCAAACTCACCATACAAAGATCGAAACACTCAAGACCAGGTAACGACTGTTGTAGCCTTACCGAGCTTGAAGCTATCCTTCGGCTTCTCCGCCTCACGCTTGCCCCACGTCGTCTCCGAGTCCGGATTGCCCAGGGTCTGGCGCTTTTCCTTGCCCCAGGTGATAATGGTGCTTGGCTTACCAAGCTCGATGGTATCGGCAGGGTCAGTCCCATCCCTCTTACCCCAGCTGACCTCGGAGCTCGGCTTTCCCAAATCGATGGTGTCGGGCTGCGTGACTGTGTCGCGCTTCGCTGTACTCCATGTCACAACTGTCTTGGGCTTGCTGATGGTGAAGGTGTCTTTGGGTTCACTCCAAGTGACATCGCGTTTCTTGTCTTTGGGTTCACTCCAAGTGACGGTGCGTTTCTTGTCTTTGCTCCAGATGATCTCGCTGGTAGGGGGGCCGAGCTGTACGTCGTCTGGGTTGGTCGGCTCGTCATCGCGCTTGCTCCAGATGATCTCGCTAGAGGGCTTGCCGAGTTGGATATCGTCTGGGTTGGTAGGGCTGAGGGTTTGTGCCTGCTCTTTGTCAGCTTGGATGTCTGTGATAATGACGAAGTCGAATTACCTCAGCTGAAGGCACAGGTGCGGCGCTGCTCACAGCAACCAACACACCAGCAGCAAGAACGGATACGAATCGGTACTGCATCTCTTTTTTCGTCTGACTGTTCCTTAACTTCGAGTACTAGTGTTGGGAAAGGGCAAGAAGTCGGTGGGGCTCGCTTGCAAGGCAATAATCTCAGGGTCTGGGGTTGATATATCAAAAAAGATGCATGAGATCTACACGGAGCCGGCATACCACTTCATTTATACGCATCATTTGTACCAAAGTTCAGACACGCTTTTGCCACTCTGTAGCTGCCCGAGATGGTAGATGGCTAGTTGGTGTTCGAGGCTGTTGGATACGGTTCGTGTAATTTGGGTAAAGTACTTTTGCTTCCTGTTGTGGTTAGGAGATGTTTGGTCCAGCCAGCCTCAAGCGAGTATGCAGATGAAAGGGCATACGTGACTGGGGCATTTTGTGTGGGGTGATTGAGGGATGCGACATTCCAGAGGACTAAGATGGCTGGTGCTGCTAGTACTCGTCCCTGGGGATTTGGCAAGGACTTCGCATACGAGAAAGTTTGACTAGACGTCTACTAGCTCTCCAAAGTCATGGGTTAGTATTTCTCTGCGGTCTTTGCCACGCCCCCTTCCGACTTGTTGTATGGACTTCTTTTTCCCTTTACATGTCTAAAAGGCTCAACAGTCAGTACGATGGCAAACATGGGCGAGATGCTCTCCTACCATTCTCTTATCGTGTCTCAAGTATACTCCAGAGTCCAGTACAACAACCCACGCTCTATGCAATCTCTCCATCACAAATCAGCATGGATGTAGGGACTCCCAACACCGACAACACGCTCTAGCCCAACCCACACCTCAATCTGCGTATCCAGCATCGAACGGCTTCCCTGCATGAAGATCCTTGAGAGGATGGTTTGTACTAAGTAAGGGGTGGGACGTACATCCGAGTGCGACCAGAACCTCGTTGTGTCGCACAAGAATCTTCGGCAGAGTAATCATCTACCGTGTATGCAACGCTATCGCGGCTAGTCCTCTGGGATAGTGAAAGACCAAGGGTGATGAGATGAAGACGCCTGGCTTATCAGGCAACACAGAATAGTTGTAGACAGAACATAGGGATACAAAGGTCTAGAGCTGGCTGGCATCAGCTCTGGACTACGAATGAATGCCTGAGTAGTTCCCCATGCATCACACTAGACAGATCCTGAGGATAAAGCTACGCGAGACAACGCAACATATGTATCATGGCGGCTACAAGCAACGGCTTGCAGAGTCTGGGGAACTTACCTGCACGCTGGATTGGAGACCAAGCAACGATGCAAAGGCTCCGGTGGAGTGATCTCCATAGTGCGTCTGTCTATCTTTAGACAGGAATGCAGCGTCGCCCGACACGACTGCCTCCTTTGGCTAGTGCGAAAGCGAGGGCATATCAAACGTCCCCAGTCATATGAGTTCTTCAATTTGGAATAAAAACCAGGATATTGTCGAATGTACGGGACACGAGAGGATGAACATTTGTGCACCAACGGAAGGAAGCATTCCAAACTCGTAATAACAACGAAACATGACGAACACGAAAAAGAAACCACCCGTGCCGAAAGTCCTTTTCGAGCTGAGTTTGTTGGTGATGAGTAGCAGCAACAGTGATGTTGGTGACAGACGTGCTGAAGCGAAAAGGATAAATGAGGCTGCCGACGCAGTTAATCTAAATAGATGAGGTCTCAAACAAAGAAGTCCTCGGCAGAGTAACGGTCTGGTGACACCTCGGAACTGGAACACGATAAGATTTCTTTGGTAGCAGCTCGTCATTGTGCCAAACTTTGAAATGTGGCGGCGGCCTGGTCAGTCGTGTTCGTGTCGGCTTCGCCAGATGGGAGATTTTCATCACAGCTGGACGAGAGCTTGATGGAACGAGATTGTTTGTTTTCATCTGTAAGTGGCGCCATCGTAGGGCTATGGTATATACACTGGTATACATGATAAAATCGTACTGTACACATGATAGCCATTCAAGGCTCCGGATCCTTCGGTCTCTCTCCAAACTCCCGCTCCAACCATGACGCCCAAACCTCCTTGGGGTCGGCCGTGTTATCCGCGATGTCCTCCGTTGAACCAGCTGCATCATGCGCGTCAGAATCGTCAGGCTCGCCTTGAATGAATGTAGTGTTATCGTCCCCGTCTATGCCTTCTAGCGCATCCTTTACATCCGCGTCTCTTGTGTCCTTGATGTAGGCGGAAGCGGCAATCATGACGTTGTCTGCAACCCAAGCGGGAGCGAGCTGCAGTTTCTTCTTCTTTGCCACATGCTCGTTTCTTGAGGCGAGACCGAGGATCTTTTCGCGATCGAAGCCTTCGGTAGAGATGTCTGCCAGGATCTGGTTGAAGGCGACCGTGTTGCCGGTAATGGAGCACAAGCCTATCATTTGACCGTATGCTTTGGTCATGTCTTCATGATTCACTCTGGCCTTGATGCTGCTAATCTCTCCCCAAATGTATAGGCCCCCTTCCCAGTCCGCGCGGCGGAGACAGTCGTTGAGCATTCTCGTCAGACCTTGAACGTCGAGACCCCAGCCGTCCGCTTTCATCTCGTAGTAGATATCAAGCGCTCGGTCGAACCCTGCGAATCGCATGACACCAGTTATGAGGGAACTAAACACCATGGGTGTTGGGTGGACTTTCTGGTAGACCTTCTTTTCGTCGACCCTCACGAGCCGGCCATGACTGGCTTCGTTGACGTTGACTTTGGGAGTTGCGAGCATAAGCCCGTCGCCTACACCTCTCATCCTGGCGACAAACCTCGAAAAGTCTTCAGGGTTTCCATGCCTCAGGGAGGCGTAGTGATTGAGTATTTCTCGACAGGTAATCTCGTTGGGACGAATTTTGTTGTAGTTGAGGGCGGGTATCACACAATCTATGAGGTTGCGACGCCGCCACTGTCGAAAACCTACCAGCAAAGTGTTGAATGTCTGTAAGTCCGGTGAGGCCGATGAAACGAGGAGGTTGTGACAGATCTTTGCAAGCACGACAGCCTCTTTGCGGTCGTTGCCGTGTACGTCGCTTTCAAACAGCTTTTGGATGCTCTGATTCATTTGGATCGTAATGGCGTAAAAGTCTCCATCCACGTCCTGATAATATTCCGGAATTCCTGGATGATCTGGGTGAATTCGAGCCTGGGCAATCACGTCTGGCGGACTATCAACAGGAATCTGATGGAGGTTTTCAAGAGCCTCTAGGATGTTTTGGCGCGCTTGCTCACGCTCCACAGCATTCATGGCTATGACGTCCTGGATCTGCTGTGACAAATTGTCGGAATCCACCTCCCAAGCCTTGTCGAATCTAGGCACGTTGTTTTTGTGCAGTAGTTCGTGTATAAGGAGACCGGTGGAGAGTTCCTGCATGGCCAGCTTCTTCCACGAGTGTCGCCTTTGCAGGGCGTTTACGCGTAGTGCGTCTGGCGCCCACAAGGACTGGGGCGGCAAGTTGTAGCGTATAAGTTCAGGACCGGTATTTGTTGGAAACTCCAGAAGCTGCATACCTGGGAACCTCGAGTCAAAGCGCAGGTCTTCCAGCTCAGCGTAATCGCGAATTTGTGACTTGATTTCTTGATCTTCCAAGATTGGATCCTCATCCAATTCCATGCCTACAATGCGCTCCAACGCGCTCCAGTCGAAATCGTCCGGCAGATCATCAAAGGTCAAGCCATGGTATCCATGCCCCAAGGTCACAGAATCAGTGGCCGTGTCTCTATCCTTCGTTCTCTCTCCTGGGGACCCGTCACCCGTAGATTGGGCTAGTGATGAAAAGGCCTTCTCCCATTGTGTGTTCCTAGCGGCTTTCGCCCTCGCATCGACGGCCAGCCCCGCAGCGAATATGGTCGTGTATACGAAGGTCGACGTTGGTGTGCCGATTGCCCGCGTGCGGCGAAGAGCAGTCTGCCCGCTGCGCCTAGCGAGAGCGCCGGTATTGGAGACGCATGAGATGCA